ACACATGGCAGATGCAACAGTCTCAGCTGAACTCCTGGCCCTGCCACCGCCTGGAACCCTGTGGTCAGGCTGGCTAGCTGCCTTCTGTTCACCCCCTGGGGTACTCCTTGCAACACTCCTTCGCCCCCTCCCAGTCCCGCCCATGGCCAACCCAGACCTATTTACTGACTGAGGAAGTTCAAAGACCAGTCTGAGGAGCCTGGAGATATCTGGGGCTCCAGATCCTGATATACACCCCGACACTCACCCCAACACATACAGTTCTGCCAGGTGATCTGAAACCCTGCCAGGCCCCAAGCGCTGCCCTCTCTGGCCAGAAATCTTCCCAGGCTCTCCCCCAGAACTTCAGCTTCCTCCTCTGCTCTCAGGACTCCTGCTGGCAGAGGGGAAGTACTGGAATGGAAATTCTGCAGCCTCCCCACCCTCTGTCACCCCGAAGAGCCGATGGAAGCAGTATCGAGAAATGATGGCTGCCTACCAATGGGTGTTGACTTTCTTCTTCATGGGTGAGAGAGGGAGAGACATGGGTGTCTTGGGTCCACCAGGGGAGAAGGGTCCAGAGGGAGGAAGGCTGGGCAGACGGGCAGCTGGCCTGGATGCCTGAGGGCCAAGGGACCAATCTGAGAGGGACAGGGGATGGCTGGATGTCCAGTGGGGGTGGAAGGGAGGGGAATGGCTGGGTGCAATGACTGTTTCAGAAACAAATTCACTCTTTTCTCTTCTTTCACAGAGGCCCTTTCTCCTCATCTTCCTCCTGTTCACCTCAGTCTGGTCAATCTCTGTTCTCTACCTGGTGTGGCTCTACCTGGACTGGGACACACCTAACCAAGGTGAGCTGTGGACAAGGGCCCAGGTAATGAGAAATGGCCACTGGGGGGAGGCAGTTACCTCCAGGGATTCTGGCGCCCTCTGTCTTTGCCCACAGGTGGAAGGTGCCGTGACTGGATGAAGAATTAGACAGTGTGGAAGGACATGAGGGATTATTATCCTATCAAGGTGATGGGTCCTTTGACTGCGTCTGCCCTCCTCTGCCTCCCACACTGCTCTCCCCCTTCCATGTGTTGGACGGACCCTGAGCACATGAGCTGGGGCAGTGGCCCAGGGCTGGATGGCCCCCAAGAGAGGACCAATGATCCCATCCTAGGACCTTGAACTCTGATGTCTGTTGGGGGGCAGGGCAATTATTTTCAGCTGGTGTCTTCCCTTCTCTGCCTCCCCCGCTCATCCTGCCCAACACCCTGAAGCTGGTGAAAACAGCAGAGCTGCCCCCCAACCAGAAGTACGTGGTGGGCAGTCACCCACATGGGGTCATGTGCACCGGAGTTTTCTGTAATCTCTCCACGGAGGGCAATTACTTCTCCAAGCACTTCCCAGGGATTTGGACTCGTCTAACTGGTCTGAGTGGCCTCTTCTGCCTCCGAGTCTACTGAGACTACATCATGGGCTATGGTGAGCCTCTAGCAGAGTTGGGCGATTGCTCCCCACACACTGGGACACCCCCAGCATCCCCTCCGGAGTGCAGGGACCTGGCCTGAACATCGGCCAGGCTCCCAGCAGGCATCAGTGAGTGGCTTCACTGTTGGGCTCTGACATGGGGATTGGGTGCAGGTTTGGAAGGAAGAGGATAAGGGTTCACCTGTCCTATACTAAGGGTGAGGGGCCAAGGGCCTATGGACAGGGTGCTGACTGCTTCCCACCTACCCCTGCCTACAGGAATGCGTCCAGTGAACCGCCAGAGCCTGGACTTTGTCCTGTCCCAGCCCCAGCATGGGGAGGCTGTGGGTATTGTCATAGGGGGTGCCCAGGACATTCTGTTTGCGAACCCAGGGCAGCACTGCCTCACGCTCCGGAAACGCAAAGGCTTTGTGCGCCTGGCGCTGAGGCACGGGTGAGTGGGCATGGAGGGCCTGCTGGCTGTGACTCCACAGCTGCCCTGGGCTGTCCACTCTCTGTGGGTCTACACTCCCTCTCAGTCCCTACACATCTGGGGCCCTGGACGGGGGTCTGTGTCCCCAGAGCCAAGCACTGTGTCCTAGACCTGGAGGCTCATGGCAGCCCTGGGCATCTTGCTCTGAGCCAAGCCCTGTGCCCCGTTCCCCGGGCTCCCTCCCACCCCGGGCGAGGCAGAGGCAGGGGCGTCGTGCCAATGGCAGGTCCTTGGGCTCAAAGCCCTGCATGCTCTTTCTGACCTGATCTCAGAGGCAAGACCTTGGACTTGTCTCTTTACCTGTGAAGAGGAGTAATACGGACTAGCCACCGTGTTGTAGTTATAACAACTGACTGAGAAAGTGAGTCTCACTTTCTCAGTCAGTTGTTATAACTACAACACAAGTATTTCTCAAGAAATGTGAGTATTTTCTTCTAGATCTTTCTTTGTAGGCACAGTCATGTGCTTTGAAAGGCTTTGGGATGTGACCTCATGAGGGCTAGGGAGGGACTTGCATTCCCTGTAGTGCCTTTTGGGGCACAGTCCAGCAATCTGAGCACCCCACTTCTCTCTTGCCACCCTTCCCAGGGCCTCACTGGTGCCCGTGTACTCCTTTGGGGAGAATGATATCTTCAGAATCAAGGCTTTTCCTGAGGACTCCTGGCAGTTTCGGTGCCAGATGGGTTTTGCACCTTTCTTCTTCTGGGGCCGCAGTCTGTTCTTGGCCAACTCCTGGGGGCTGCTGCCCTTTGCTGTGCCCATAACCACCGTGGGTGAGTGCCACCCGTGGGGGGGGCCACCAGCCGCTCTGTGGACAGCGGGGGCCCCTCGCTCACTTGTGTCTCCCTCTGGCTACAGTGGGCCGCCCCATCCCTGTGCCCCGGTGCCTCCAGCCCACCACGGATGAAGTTGACCACTATCACGCCGTCTACATGAAGGCTCTGGAGCAGCTGTTTGAGGAGCACAAGGAAAGCTGTGGCGTCCCTGCTTCTACCCACCTCACTTTCCTCTAGGCCTGGCCTCAGCTGCTCGCTGAGCCCCCAAGCCCCTGACCCAGGGTGCTGGGACC